GGAGCCAGAGCCCAAGGTTGTAGCAACTACCAGGGGTAGGGGCCGAGGCAAAGGCAGATGCCGAGGTAGAGGTAGAGCTCAGCCTAGAGTACGCGTAACAACACCTATAGCTGAGCCTCAAATGGCTCAGGAGGATGAGTTTTTGGATTAGGTTGAGCTAGTAGGACTGGCTCAGGTACAAGAGAGGTTCATTGTATGTACTTATCTTCCATGTTTTGCTTCTCCTCTATGGGATAGATATATAGCATTTGTTTAGTTGTTTTATTCATTGTTGGATATGATTCCATGTACTTATCTTGCGTGTTTTTCTTCTCCTCTTTGGGATAGATACATAGCATTTGTTTAGTTGTTTCATTCGTTACACGGGCTAGATAGTCATGTACTTGGATTTCCATTTCTTATTGGTCATACTTGAGTTGTTACATTTTTGGCGCACAGATCACGACATATGAGATTCTAAGTGGAATTTTTTGTGGCCAAGCAACTTGTACTGGGTGAGATGAGGTTGTTGGACCTGGAATCAGCACAATCGGATTGGTATAATGTATGTTTGGAGGAGGAGTTTCACTAATCAGTTCAAAATGCGGTAATGATTATTTTCGAGTGGAAGAACTCCATGATTTGTTGATTTGACAGGTGGTTATGTGTTTCTACACATCTCTTTCATCGTTGCAGTATTGCAAGGTTTGGAACATGATTCTTATGTGTCATAGGGTGTATTACCAGTATTGGGTTCGGTAATGAGCACCTATTGTGGTTGGAAGATATTGCCATGGGCATATGAGTTATACGGTACATCGTATAGTTACAACTTGAGTGTATAATTATGCTTTAGTACAACTTATTGAGGTTGTGTCACGACCCAAAATCCACTAGTCGTGATGCCACCTAACCCAACCCGCTAGGTAAGCCAACTAATAATTATCCAATTCCAATAATATTAACAAAACAATTAACAAAAGGAATTTTCTTAATTGTATACTTTCCCTAAGGACTGGTAGTACAAATCACGAGCTTCTAAGAATAGAATTTACAAAGCTGATATGAAGTAAATACATCTTCTGTTTGAACTGTATATAAACAGAGTTTTTACAAAACTAAGGCTACCATAAATAAGAAATAGCTATAATAGGAACGCAGGTACATCTTCAAATCCGGCAACCAACGAGCATAGCAACAGCAGCAGCCAACATCTGCACACAATGTGCAGAAATATAGTATCAGTACAACCGACCCTATGTACTGAGTAAGTAACAAACCTAACCTTAGGTTGAAAGCAGTGACGAACTGGAATATAGGTCGGGTCCAACACCAATAACAAATAGCAGTTCATAACAAAGTAGAGAATATAAATATGAAAGTAACTCAGAGATAAAAATGCTCAGCTTTTTCACAATTTTCCGAAAATAGTGTCACTTTTCAAGAATGTCAGTGAAAACTCAAATCCTTTGCCGAAATCGTCGTAAAATATGAGATTGTCTGAAAACTGTAATTTTCCAAAAGTCATTTCCACAATAAATTAGATGTTTTGTTTTCTTTCCAGATAGCAAGCGTGAAATACCTCTCTATGCCCACATATCAATGTGTGTAAAAAGTCATGAATGACATGATACCGTACAACATGAGGAAAAATGCATGTCTATGCTTGTATGTCATGTGTACATGCCAATGCCATGTATCTTAGAGATGAATCATGTACTTACACTCTCAGAGTACTCAATCTCACTGTCTCACACTTTTCACTTATCATGCCCAACCACTCGGTACTGTATATGACTCATACGGCCCAGGAAAATCCATCCCAGGATATATACAACACTACTATAAGTCACCCAGTACCGAGGAAAAAGGAAAATCCAACCCTGTGGAGAAATCCATCTCTGGGTATCAAGTACTTCTGACAAATCCATGTCCAGGGAAACCCATCCCTCAATAATATCATCCGCGTTCATTGGGGTGTGTTATAGACTCCGAAGGGGCTCCTACAGCCCAAGCGTTATCATAATCATCAATATAACTGTTGCGGCATACAGCCCGATCCCATAAGTGTCACTCATAATCAGGCTCTTGGCCTCACTCAGTCATCTCTCTCTCCAGTCTTACCCACGGGCTCACAATGTCATGAAAACAATCCCGGAACAATGGTATGATGTATCAATAAATAACAACTTAGACCGAGATATGATATGAATGCATGAATATGACTGAGTGCGAAATATCAATGAAATCAGTGAGATGAGAGTATGAAATGACCACTATAGGTCTTAACAATATCAGTATATAGCCTAAACGTGGTATCTAGCATGATTGACAGCTCAATTACTTAATCACATGGTGAAAACACGGATATCAATAAAATAGTGCCACTAAATAGTGCCATAAAAATTATGGAGTCACAATTCACCGGGTACATGCCCACACGCCTGTCACCTAGCATGTACGTCACCTCATCATCAATCACATAACACATAATTCGGGGTTTCATACCCTCAATACTAAGTTTAGAAGAGTTACTTACCTCGAACAAGCCAATTCCAATAACGAGCAAGCCAAGTGATGCTCCAAGAATGCCATTATGCGCGTAGCGACCTCTTGAACGGCTTAAAACTAGCCAAAAGCAACTCAAATACATCAAATAAAGCCCAAGAAAATAGTTCTAAATGATAAAAGATCGAATCCTAAATCAAATCCCAAATCCAGCAAAAATTCACACCTGGGCCCACGCCTCGAAACTCGACATAACTCATAAAAACCGACAACCTATTCAATTATGAGTCCAACCATTCTATTTTCACTCAAATCCGACTCCAAATTGGTGTTCAAAATTCAAAAATTCATATTATAAAACTATAGGCCAAAACCCCTAATTTCTCTTAAAATTCATCAACTAGAAGCTACAACCGAAGATAGATTCATGGAATATAACCAAGACCGAGTAGAGAATACTTACCCCAATTCATATGGTGGAAATTGCACCAAAAATCGCCTCAATATGAGCTTGGAAATGTTAAAATGAAGCCAAAATCACGAACCCTTGTATTTATCATTCTGCCCAGCACTTCCGCTTCTGCGCCACACTAGCTACTTCTGCGGAGTCGCTTTTGTGACATGAGCTCTGCTTCTATGGACTCCACTAGACAAATGACCCCTCGCACCTGCGAATCAACATCCGCTTATGCACAACCGTAGGTGCGCAACCAAACACATTCCTGCATTAAATCTCACTCATGTGCCCAAGATCTTCGCTTCTGCTGGACCGCAGATGTGCCCCTATTCTCGCTTCTGCGATCCATTACCAGGCCTCCCTTCGCTTTTACGATCAACTGTCCTCATCTGCAGACTCGCATATGCGTTCCTTCTTCCGCAGATGCAAAAACACCAGAATCAGCAGCCTTCTGCAACAACAACATGAAAAACAATAATCCGAAATCAAATCTGAAACACACCTGAGCCCCTCGGGACCCCGTCCAAACATACCAACAAGTTCCATATCATAATATGGACCTACTCGAGGCCTTAAAATACACATAACAATATCGAAACGATGAATCACACCTCAATTCAAACATCAATGAACTTGAAACTTCAAATTTCCACAACTAATGTCGAAACTTATCAAATCACGTCCGATTGACTTCCAATTTTTCACTCAAGTCACATTTGACATTATAGACATGCTCCAACTTCCGAAATCGAAATCCGACCCCGATATAGAAAAGTCCACTCTCGGTCAAACTTTTCAAAATTCAAATTTTTGTCATTTCAAGCCAAATTCTACTACGGACCTCCAAATCACAATCCGGATGTACTCCTACGTCCAAAATCACCCAACGGAGCTAATGGAACTATCAAAAATCCAATCCTAAGTCAATATTTAAAAAGTCAAACTTGGTCAAACCTTTCCAATTTAAAGCTTCTAGCTGAGGGTCATTCTTCCAAATCAAATTTCGAATAACCTGAAAACCAAAACTGACGATTCTCATAAATCATAAGACATCATACGGAGCTATTCATGCCCTCAAACAATCAAGTGAAGTGCAAATACTCAAATGACCAGTCAGGTTAAGTTGATACAGTGTGTGTGTGTGTATATATATATATATATATATATATATAAATCGGATCTTTAGGGGGCTCGAAAAGTTAGAATTCGGGTTCTAAGGATTTCAAGCTAAGGTTGATGGAACAATTTTCAGTCGGAATTGTATCGATGGGATTGTATGGATGGAGGTGACGCGATATCACCCATGGATAAGTGTATGATGAGTTATTCAGTGATTTTTGAAACTTTAGAACGATTATTGGCACGTTCCGTGACGAACGTATGTTCAAGTGGGGGAGAATGTAACTATCCGACCGGTTGTTTTGAGCTTTACCATGTCGTTTAGTGGTTTGAGACCTTGAGTAGCTTCACTTTATGCATAATGACTTACATATATAGTTGGTTTTGATTTTTTAGAAGTTTGGAGTTGATTTGGAAGACTAATTCTCAATTCGGAAGCTTTAAGTTGGAAGAGTTGACCACAATTTGAGTTTCAAGTAAATGGCCTAAGAATTTGTTTTTGAAGGTCCCTATAGGTCCGCCAAGTGATTTCGGACTTGAAAGTATATTTGGGTTAAGTATTGGGTGGTTTGGGAGCAATTCAACGCTTATTGTCGAAAGTTTGCATTTTTGAAGGTTCTTGAATTTGCTAAGTTTGACTAGAAGTGGACTTTGGTGTTATTGGACTACGGGTGGTGTTCCAGGACCTCAGATAGGTCAATTTGGTTGATCGAAACTTATGTGTGAAGTTTGGTCATTATCCGGAATGGTGAAGTGTGATTCGGACGCGTTTGGTGAAGTTTGAAGATTCAAAAGTTAAGAGAAGTATTTTGATGTGGATTTTTGGTTTTGATGTTATTCCTACCGTTTAGAGCCTTTGGATAAGTTTGGATAAGGTAATAAAATATGTCTCAAGGGCCTTTCTCCTCCTATTTAAAGAAGATCTATTTTTCTCATTTTGATATTTTTTACACACTCTAGAGAACAATTTTACACTATGTAAAATACATCTTAGAGAGCAAAAAGTCATCAGCTGAAGACATATAGTAAGCTAAAAATTTAAGAGTTTTATGAGTAGTATCTTGAGTGTAAAATATTTTTAGAGAAGCAGGAGAATAATTTGGATGCTATTTTGCTGGTGGTGGTTGTTGAGTTTTAGTTCATCTAGCGCTAACACCTTTTCTTTCTGCTGTCGAGGTAATTCTTTAAACACTACTGTAATCTTTGTTCCAGAATGAATGCAAACAAATCGATTTGAGTTCTCTTTACTTCATTGTACCATTAAAGCATTCTATTCTTATCAGTTTGTATATAAATACCAATGCTATGTAATGGATGGTTGAACTTCCTATTTTGTTTACATCCGGGTTGATACCAAGTATGATATTACTGCTTTCCAGTCTCTGTTTGTGTCCATCTCCTGTAGTTCTGGTTGTTTTTTAGTTTGGTTCATAAGAATATTCGGGTGGGCTTGATGATGCTTCAATGATTATTTAAAAAGGAGAAAATCATGTCATTATTGATCTGCTAGCTTTATTGTTATATACAAAGTTTTGTTTGGCAGATTTCTGTAGATATTTCAATTTGGATCGTTGAGTAGAGGCATTTCGTCTTAGTAATTATATTAATTTTAGTTGTTTAGAATGAATAAGATAATCTGCTATCATTGGAGCAGCTTTTGTTGGTTAACAATAAGTGGATAGTTCACTGGATTTGTCTTACTTGAAACTTAACTAGTTTTTTTATAAAATTAGAAATTTAGAACCAAACATGAATTGTTTACAAATTAGCTTGGGTTGAAGTTCTATTGAGATAATTGGGCCTTGATATTTAAGGTCTTAAAAGAATAAGAAAACTATTAAGTTTGACAACTGAATAAAAAAATTATCAATATTAGCATAACTCATAGAATACTATCGATATTAGCCCTAAATCTTCTTTTTATTACAAACTGGCTAAAGCTTCCTTCTTTGTGCTTCGTGACTTCTTGGTCCTTACTTTTTGCTATGCCCTCACATTTAAAATAAATCGGCTACACTAACCAAAATAATATATTGTCATGATGTCTACAAATACAAACAAAGGTTATACACATGGCCACTTATCTATAAATTTAGTATCGATACTAACTAAAGTTGACACACCTGTTAAAGTTCTGATGTGTTATTGGATAGATAATGGTCTACATCTGTAACCTCATTTTCTTGATCCATCTCAAATATATATTATCTTATTTAATGTTATTCGTGATAATGTTGTTTTTGAAAAAGAAATCACTTTTTGTACCAAATCCGCATATAAGGTTGTTTGTGGTAATGTAACTACCTCATATGACATGGAATGAAATAATATATTAAAGCTTTGTATTGCTAAGCACTCAAAATATTTTATATGGCTTGTCAGACCTAACAAACTTTTGTCAAGTGACCTTATATTTATTAGGAGGTTAATTGAATTACCAAAGTGTGAACGATGTGATTATGATGAGGACTCCTCGTGTATTATTGGGGCCTGTTCAAAATCTTAACAAATATGGAACAAATATATCTCACAAACTAAGATTGATGTTATAGTGGCTATGTCAGTGGGTGAATGATTTAATGATACTATAAAAAATGCATCAACCTGTGACGACCTAATAGGTTTGTGTAGTAGCTTTCTATTTTATGTTTCGAGAGTTTTCATAGATCAATTTGCTGATTTATAACTTGCGTGTGTGGTCCGTGTCGGTTTCCGATAAGTCTAAATGTGAATAATTTAAAGAAAATGTGATTTTTGACTTTGGAAATAGCTAGAGTTGACCACGGTCAACGTTTTTGGTAAACCACCCCGGATCGATGATTTGACAATTTCTATAGATTCGTATGATAATTTTAGACCCGTATGCATCTTTTATTGAGGTCTGGGTGACCCGAGGCCTTTCAACACTTATGTAAAAAGCTGGAGATTTGAGTTTAACTTTGAAAAATCTTGAATTTTAATGATTAATTCTTGATTATTGATGTTATTTTGATGATTTGAGTTTGCGAGCGAGTTTGTATGATATTATTACATATGAAGAAGGAAAGATGAATTAAAAGAAGGAAAGCAAATAGTTAAAGAGAAAAATGCATGATTTCCGTACAAAGAATTACTGGCTTTCCATTCAATTTGCTTATTTTTAGGGATTACTAATTAATATTCCTATTTTAATGGAACTATGTGCTACAAATATAAATATTTCCCTGCCAAGCATTTATACTAGGTTTCATACTAAAAATTTGTTAAATTTCTTTTAAACTGTGACAGTTATGTAAATATCCCGCGCATCAGAAAACTATTAAGTTTGATACCTAAATAAAAAAATTATCAATATTTACACAACTCATAGAATACTATCAATATTAGCCCTAAATCTTCTTTTTATTACAAACTGGCTAAAGCCTCCCTTCTTTGTGCTTCGTGGCTTCTTGTTCCTTACTTTTTGCTATGCACTCACATTTACAATAAATCGGCTATACTAATCTAAATAATTAATTGACATGATGTCTATAAATACAAACAAAAGAACAGTAATTGATGTCAATTAACATTGATAAAAATATTAAAACCTCAACCGAGAATTTTTCCCCAGATAAAGGATGCAATGGACTTTGCAGCACACAAATTGTCACCAGCAGTAATAGTCATTTTTGTTTATTATAGCAACAAATTAAAACTACTTATACTTCTGAATTCACATTTTGTTTCAAAGGGTTAGGCTATGTAACCGTATATAATTTAAGATAGTTAAAAATATAGATTGACGAAAACCATACCTCAATTGGAATATAGAGCAGGAGCGCCAACGAACAATTACAAATGATAGCATGAATTAAGATCATGAAAGATCATGCTTCATGCATAGCAACAATTTCTTTTATAAAACTCCATCGCAAGTCATTAAAGTTAGATTGCTTATGTTTGAGATACATGTGACATAGAAAAATTTCCTTTACTCGATTTTAACTATGAGTTTTGATTTCAAACCAGTCCAAATTATCTCTAATCTTCTTCGAAATCTTATTTTTCCACAATTTTTGAATATTATATATCATTAGTAACTTTTTATTGCCTAAAATGCAATAACGGGTAGCACGGTATGGTCACTCCCTTAGTTCTCTTTTATTGCAAAGAGTTTCTAATTCTATGGGAAAGTGAGTCATGTTACGCCATGTAAATTCGTTATGAGAGAATATATTTGTGTTTTGTAATTTAATTTTATTAGATTAGTAACAGTGTGAGTACTGAGTAGGTATCTGTACGAGTTTACGTGCATCCCTTACAAATTAAACTAATCCCTAAGTAAATATTGACATGTTTCTTAAGTATGCTCTCTCGAAATAACAACAATAATAATATAATTTTATGAGTGAAGTTTGGGGAAGGTAGAGTGTATGCAAACTTTATTCCTACCTTGTAAAAATAGAAAGTCTGTTACAAGGAAATATGCTCTCTCAAAGGAATTTTAATAATAAAATTTTGGTTGGTTTTGCAACATGAAATGTAAATTTTATGCTACGGTGTCTATCGCCATTGCAATTAAGTGGCAGTTGTGCCGGTGTTTCGCAACATGTAATTTTGTAAAGTGAAGGGGACAAAATAGGATTTGGCCATCGAAGATTAATTAAGTTTTGGCTTAATTGGTGGAGCGGCCACTTATTTATAAAGTTAATATCGACACTAACCAAAGTTGCCACACTTATTAAAGTTCTGATGTTTTATTGGATAGATAATGGTTTACATCTGTAACTCATTTTCTCGATCCACTCAAATAAATATTATCTTATTTAATGTTATTCGTGATAATGTTGTTTCTGAAGAAGAAATCACTTTTAGTACCAAATCGGCATATTTGTGATAATGTAACTACCTCATATAACGCGGAATGAAATAATATATTAAAGCTTTGTATTGCTGACCAGTCTAAACATTTTATATGGCTTGTCAGACATAACAAACTTTTGTCAAGTGAGCTTATATTTATTAGGAAGATAATTGTGACGACTCGGCCGGTCGTCTTAAGAATTAATGCTCCGATCCTCTATTAATTGTTTTTCCCGAGTTTATTTCTGCTATTTTGATTTGCCGGGATATTCGGTTTTGAGTTTCGGAGAGTTTTGGGACACTTAGTCCCTAAATGAGAACTTAAGTGTTGGAAAGTTGACAGTAGTCGGAACAGTGTGAAGACAGCCTTGGAATGGAAATCTGATGGTTCTGTTAGCTCCGTTGGGTGATTTCGGGCTTAAGGGCGTGTTCAGATTTTGTTTTAGAGGTCCGTAGCTAATTTAGGCTTGAAATGCCGAAAGTAAAATTTTTGAAGTTTACGGTTCGATATTGAGATTTTGATCTGAGAGTCGGAATAGAATTTCGGAAGTTGGAGTAGCTCCGTAGTGTTTAATGTGACGTGTGTGCAAAATTTCATGTCATTCAGACGAGGTTTGATAGACTTTCTGATCGAAAGCGTGTTTTTAGAGTTTTTGAAATTCTTAAGCTTGAATCCGACGAAAAATAGGTGTTTTGATGTTGTTTTGTGCGTTCCGAATGTTGGAGCAAGTTTGAATGATGTTTTAGGATTGGTTGGCAGTTTTGGTTAAGGTCCCGGCGGCCTCGGGTATATTTCGGATGCTCAACGAACCATTTTTGGACTTGGAGAAGCATTAGATTTTTGCTAGTATGTGTTGCAAACTTTTCTTCATTGCGATCGCGTGGGGAGGATCGCGATCGCGAAGGCTTAGACGAGGCAGAGGGAATTTTTACCCTTCGTGTTCGCGTGAAGAGGAATACGAACACGTAGCTATGAGCAATGCTGAATCGCGAATGCGTGGGCTAGGGCGCGTTCGGATAGAAGAAATAATGCGGCAGTGGTTTGTTAAGTGTTTCTCTACGCGGTGGCATGGAGTCAACCATGATCACGTAGGTTGAGGGAGCTAAAGCATCGCGGTCACGGACGGGGTTCCGCGGTCGCGTAAAGTAAATTTGAGGCGCGTGGTTTTTGTTCTTCGTGATCGCGTCTGGTCTTCCGCGATCGCGATTAAGGAATTAACTCGGCAGGACATAAAGGATGTTAGACCAAAAAATTGAGTTTTGATTAGGGATTTGACATTGGATTTGGATAATTTTAGTATGGTCAGACTCGTGAGAGTGTGAGGATTCTGGAAGTGTAAATTTTACCCGATCCCGAGATGTGGGCCCAAGTGGCATTTTGGTTATTTTACCTAATTTCGCGTATAAGCTTAGAATTTAATTGATGAATCAGTTACTTGAAGTGTTATTTACATTATGAAATTGAATTGAAGAGATTCGGGCCATTTGGAGTCGAGTACTCGTGGCAAGAGCGTGGTTTCGGGTTGATTTGAGCTGGTTTGAGGTAAGTGGCTTGCCTAACCTTGTGTGGGGGACCTTCCCCTTAGGATTTGGTATATTTGATATTTGAAATGCCTTGTACGTGAGGTGACGAGTGCGTACTTGAGCTAATTGTTGAAAAATTCGGTTTTTTTAAGTTATTTCAATTGAGTTCCTTTTTCCTGTTTTATTCTACTTGCAAATTTAATATGTTGTTAGTTAGAAAAACATGTTAGTTGACCTAATTGCCCATTTGCTTAAACTGCCTTAATTGCATTACGTGAAGGATGTTAGGTTAGAATTACCTGTTTTACTTAGTACAAAGTTTAGCTTAATTGAGTATTCTTATGTGTTGCTGTGTGTTTTATTTTTGGACTACAGGACGACATCCCGGGAGATCCCCCTGAATGTATATATGATTTGAACTGAGGTGTGGGATACCGAGAGATCCCTGACACGTATATTGAGGATACCAAGAGATCCTCGGGATACCAAGAGATCCTTGGCACGTATATTGAGGATACCAAGAGATCCTCGGGATACCAAGAGATCCTTGGCACGTATATTGAGGATACCAAGAGATCCTCGGGATACGAAGAGATCCCCGACATATGTATATTGAGGATACTGAGAGATCCCCGATTATCATCCTTGTTATGAGTGGTATTTCATTGTGTTTTGTCTTTATCTATGTTTCAGTTATTATGCTCCTTATTATCTTGTATAGATTCTCAATTGTACTGCTTATCCTATCCTGTCATCTTTATATTTATTTAATCTCAGTAGGGACCTGACCTTCCTCGTCAATACCCAATCGAGGTTAGGCTTGGCACTTACTGAGTACAGCTGTGGTGTACTCATGCCCTTTCTGCGCATGTTTTTCATGTGCAGATCCAGGTACCTCTACTCAGACCTACCATCCTTGAGGCGAGGTGATCTTTCGGAGACTTCGAGGTATATCTGCCGCGTCCGCAAACCGATGAGTCTCTCCCTCTATTCTATCTTGTAGTGATAGCCCTTCTATCTTTATTATTGATATAGACATTCCGGAGTTAGAGCATTTTACAATGTTTCATAGCTTGTGATTCATGGGTTTTCGGGTTTTGGGAGTATATATTGGTTTTGAGAAGTTAAATGTTGTGTATGCAGAGCGGTACCTTTAAAACGTTGTTTCATTTCTCTATTTCTATTTTAAATTGTTTTTCTTTTCTTCCGCAAGTTTGGGTTAATTTCCGCATTTTAGGCTTACCTAGTCATAGAGACTAGGTGTCGTAACGATGGTTCACGGAGGGCGAACCGGGTCGTGACAAGTTGATATCATAGCTCTAGGTTCATATGAGTCATGGATAATAAGCCGGTTTATTAGAGTCTCGCTGATCGGTGTCGCACCTCCTTTTTACGCATCCGAGGGGGGCGCAAGGGAGTTTTTCCAATTAAAGGACAATCGAAATGGGATTGGGTTTAATTATTTCAGAGTCGCCACTTGGGAGATTTAGGGTGTCCCAAGTCACCAATTTTAATCCCAAATCGAGGAAGATAATGACTCTATATTATAGTCTGCGTACCAGAAATCCGGATAAGGAATTCTGTTAACCCGGGAGAAGGTGTTAGGCATTCCCGAGTTCCGTGGTTCTAGCACGGTCGCTCAACTGTTATATTCGGCTTGATTATCTGATTTTATACAAATATGAACTTATGTGCAAATTTTA